ACACTATCAGCGTAAATCACAATCTCCTTCTCGTCTTTCTCTTCCAACGACATTGTTTCAGCTAGATCCGGAAATCGAATCATGCTAGGGTTCATAAAGTAACCCATTGAGAAACTAGGATAAACCCGCATAGACTGATCGGATTCATTCCCGGAGATCGTAATCACGGGATTAGCAAGCGAAACTGGATCAGATTTCTCAAAAACAGATTCGATGCAGGGCTTCTTCTGGTGCGCGATGAGAGAAGGAGCGATTCTCTGGATTGGATAGAAACAAGACTTGCTTCTGAAGAATCTGTGCATTAGATTCGCCATTGCAGAGTTTAAAACCCTAAAGAAAACCCAAAATTTGTCAAACGCGAGTGACGAAATGAAGACGACGACTTCATTAGTGTTGAAAACGACGTAGTTTGAATCAAACGTCGTCGTTTCGTGTTGTTAAGAAGGAATGAATATTTGACGTAAAAGGAAGACAAAACAATGCCCACACGCAGGATCGAACTACGGACCTTCAGTTTACAAGACTGACGCTCTACCACTGAGCTATACGGGCCGGTTGAAATGTGCTGGCTATTTAACATTTTAATAGTTAAATAATTGACCTAAGAACCAATTGAAATCAGATAGGAGATAACTACCAAACTGAAACCAAAAACAAACTTATAAAATGGATTTATTTGGTACGGCGTTTCTATAAAACCAAAAACATTACAATAGGATCAAACATAACCAACATGAAGTCATAAACGACGAACAACTGATCCGTTTACAGAATTCGTCCAAAGAACCTGAGCATCAATAACAGAGAGATACTGATCATCAAGCCTCTTCCATGTCCTAATCGATTTCACATCTCCCCAGTTTCCTTTTCTCTTCTTATTCAAATCAGCAACCACAACTCTAGCTCTCCTCGCCCATCCGGCTTTACCATACGCGTGGTACCCGAATCCACCACCATAGCATAAGTTTAAACCTTTGAGTTTACCGCAAAAGTCGTTGACATGGTCGTGACCCACAAACACAGATTTCACATCTCCTCTATTTACCAATGTCGTGAAGAAACCCGAGTTTGTCGAAGCCGAGGATGTACCTTCTTGCCTCACTCCTTTTGTAGCGTTCTTCGAATTAAAACTGGAAAACTCCGGTAATGGAATGTGGAAGTAAGCTAGTCCTGGAGCTATACCTTGTTGAGGATTAGGCTTCGCGTTGTACTCCCTCTATCAAAACCAAGACTCAGAACCAATCAATATCGAAATCGGAAAAAACACGAGATTGTATGTTTGTTTACCTGGAGACGTTTTGAAGTGCGGTCGAACCAGAATTGCTGAGAAGTTTTGACCCAATCATAACCTTCCATGTAAGGAACACTAGAGTAATCTCCACTATCAAGAAAATAGAGATTGAGAACAGATTTGTTCTGCAGAATCGATTCAGAAGCTCCATGGATTTGGAGATTGTAATTACCAAACCCATCAATGTAATGAGCAGCCTCAGGAGGATTCACTTGAGACAAAGTATTGGGAAGCTTGACAATGTGATTCATGAGTTCTTGTCTTGTTAATGTAGATTCTTGATCATGGTTTCCTAAAACAGCAACCCAAGGGATTCTAGACGCAATCGCCGGAGCAAAAGCAGCGTTCATTGATTTCACAGCGTCTTTAACATCAAACCCAAATATATTATCACCTAAAGAGAAATCAATTTGCTATAATCATCAAACAGAGATTCCAAAAATTAGGGTTTATGCAAAACCACTAGCAAAGGAATCGAGATGGGGAAATTAGGGTTTTTTTTTATATCAATTTGGGGATTTTTTTACCGGTGAAGACGATGAGGTCAGGTTTCTCGGCGGCGATGACTCGTGACATGAAGGCGGTGGTGTTGAGGTCAGAGCAATGAGCTTTTTGGCTAGGAAGTACATCGAGACACCGTGTAGTCGCGCCGTTTCCGAAGTGCATATCAGCGACTTGCAGTATCTTAAACTCGCCGTTCACACCGAACTTGAGTTTCCGACGATGTTGTGCCGACGCCGGAACCAAACAGAAACTAACAAGAGTTGTGGAGAGAAGAAAGAAGTCGAACAAGGTCCTTCTTTTTCGATTGTCCGCCATTGTTTTGGAACCAAGAAAGACGGTAAGTGGACTTGATTGAAGTCTCTGTGTGTAGAAATTTCAAGCAAGTGTGTGTATCTAGGAGGAACGAGCCAAAGGAAGGAAGACTTTGACAATTGACAAGGAAAGTTTTAAAAATTTTGTTGGTTTTATTTTTTCAAATATGTTGTTCTCACTTAGTCATTTTACAC